CATGGCGAGTGACCGCACGCTTTTGCTTAAAATCAAGAATTCTTTCAGCGGTTCTATTGTACCGGTACCTGCCCCACGCAGCGCGTTTCAGACATACTGCACGAGCACAAGCAGAGACCACCAAGGTACGCACTTCTGAGAATGCCTGCCCGAGGTTTGGGGTATAGAATGAGAAGCTGCGGTTAAAACTGAGGATGAGAAGAGGTATAAAAGCTCATCAATTGAGGACAAAGAAGGAACCTCACTAAAAGCAGTTAGTTGCGAGTAAAAGTCCCAATTTGCTTGATCAAATTGCCAGCGAGGGCTACGAAGAGGTGGTGAATGTGAAGAAGTAAGAATGATTGGAAAATGATCACTGTCATGTAAATCCGGGAGAACAGACCAAGTGAAGTCTAGTGCGGTAGAGGAGCAGACTGAGAGATAAATGCAAGAGAGAGTATGAGTACGAGGAACAAAATGGGTGGGAGTACCTGTATTTAAAACATGGGAAGCAAGAAAAGCCTCCAACTGAATGCCACAGGAATCACAGTGAGATCTCCCCAGAGGAAATGATGAGCATTAAAATCGTCAAGTAACAGAAGTGGTGGCGGTAAGGATGAAACAAGAAAGGCAACATCCAGGATAGATAATGCCCGAGAAGGAGAGAGATACAAAGAACAGGGTGTATACCACCTATGCAAGTGGATACAGGCTGCTGTGTAATGCAGCAAAGTACGAACAAATAGCTGATGGTATGAAATATCAGTGCGTAAAATAAGGGCACTTTCATTAAAGGTCCCATCAGGAAAAGGATCCGAAGAATACAATAAATTATAGCCTGAGATGGGATAGAAAACTTCAGTAACAAGAACATAAGGTGGGACCAAGTAAACCAGGTCCTAAATGATATAAACTGGGAAGATAGCCTAAGCAACATGGACCCAAACCCAAATACAGAAGGAGGAAACTTATTCTCAACCCAGCACATAGAGATAACTTTATTAACCACTTGGATCAATGGTTTAAGAATTACGAGCCCATTGGCGCACAAAAATCCAATGATGATCTAGTTGCCACTATTAAGACTGTATCACAGATCAAGTGGGCAGAAAAAGAAAATATAAACCTTCCATTATAAATGACAATAAAAACCAATGTAAATATGCTATAATGATCCACAGCTACGCAATCTAACACATGCAGCTAGGAGGATTGGTAAAGCATACCGTGAAGTAGAACCCCAGACCTGCTCAAAACATTCCAAGCTGCACTAACAAGTGCAAGGAATAGAAAGCAAGAACTTAGGCAACCAGAATGGGAACAATTTGTTAGTGGGTTAAATAGGTCTACCCCTTTAAGTTTGGCTTGGAAAGGTATAAATAAAATAACCAGAAAAAGACTGGCAATGTTGCTCATCCCTTTCCTCTTGAAAATGCAAATGACCTCATAAGTGACTGGTCCAAAACATCCAGGCATGAAAACTTTCCATCTCATATTAGAAAAAACTTAGAGAGTGCTTCTGAAGAAATGTTAAAAATAATTAATTTTGAGCCAAAATATCGAGAGTGATTGCCTCTTCACTGAGTATGAATTAGATAATGAATTAACTAAAGGTCGATCAACTACTCCAGGAGAGGATGGTATAACCTATGATATTCTCAGAACACTAAGGCACGTGCTTGATAATCCTTCGTTGGCACTGTATAATGCCAGTTACATTGAGGGAGTTCTTCCTACATCCTGGACCAATAGTCTCATTGTGCCTATCCCTAAGCCCCCACAGCCTGATACATTTAGATCGATCTCCTTAACTAGTTGTCTTTGTAAAACTGTTGAAAGAATGATACTTAACAGACTGTACTACAGAATCAGACACCAACTTTTCCCTTATCTCTATGAGTTAATGAAAGGTAAAAGTGTGCAGAACTGTATTTCCACCTTTATCACTGCACACACCTCTATAGTTTTACTACATTTCATATCAAAAATCTGCATTTGATATCACAAACAGAACTGTTATACATAAACTAGCCAAAATGAATATTGGTGGTAGCCTACTCTGCTGGATAATAGGATACCTGTCAAACAGAGTATCCTGTCCTCTACCAAGGCTTTAGAAGTGAGTCTAAAGAAATGTCCCTAGGTACACTGCAGGGAGAAGTTCTCAGTCCCATGCTATTTAATGTTCTGATTAATACTCTCCTAAATGCTCTACCTGCCTCACCTAAACAAACAAATAGCTATAAGCTATGCTGGTGACATCATGATTCATACAACAGGGCATAAGAAGATGAGTACCATTCTTAATGAAGTTCAAGCAATTTGTAATCGACTAGGCCTCATAATATCTTCCTCTACATTCTAATTAATGTGTCCAGGAGCCACTGAACATCTCAGAGTAAACGGAACAGGAATTCGAGGTTCTTGCAGATCAACAATAAGAAACGCACTTTCAGCATATTTAAGAAAGATAGTTGCTTCAGTGAAAGAATTCCACGATTTCACCCAATTTATCTGACATTAGATCTCTGAACCAATTGCAAGATGATGTCATTCCTTGGGGCATCAATTCACTTTATAAACAACAACTGGGAATTGAATCAAAGAATTCTTGCTTGTGATGTATTTGAAGAGAAACATAATGCCTTCAAAATAGCAACTGCATATGAGAAGTTGGTCGACTATTATGCTATCAGAGATAAAGTTGTAGCACAGCAATTGAAGCTGTTGATATGTATGTCTCTGGTTTTTATGTTGCTGAAACTGAAGATGTAATTTATCAGAACCAGGAAGCAGTTATGAAGGAGGAAATGGGCATGGAAAGAGTTCTCAATTTTTTTGCCAGAACATGACTTGCTTGGCTCACATTCAACAACTTTGCATAAAAGATGGTTTTACTAATCCAGAGATCAGTAATTCTGTTTTATCATAAGCATTTCAAAAAACGTCCCTTCTGAATTCAAGCGGTGGTCAATTTCTGCTACACCATTCCTCCAAGAGAAAGTTATTTAGTTACAATCTTCACATGTAACAAGATGGAATTTGCAATTAATCATATAATAACTCCAAGTCTGCTGGTTTATTTATGTATAATTTCCATGCTTGTTACAATAAGTCTTAAAAATTTATCCCTATATATACATGTACTTGAAAATCTTTTTGGTATTAAGAGCAATGAACAGAGAGGGCAGTGTAATTATTATACTGTACTCATATAAACAAAACCTAGGAGGGTTATTCATTGCAAGAAAAGGAGTGGCTGATAGGCTTAAATAGCTATAGGCAGAGTTAACAACAACGACTGATTTACTCCACAAACTCTGATGATACTTTTCGCACTCCCCTCAGCCCTTTCTAGTTCAGTCTCTTGCTGCCCTTTACCCTTTCACCATCCACTACCCCGCTGTTATCCGTAACCTATTACTCATCCATCTCCCTTTTGCCACCTGATGCCCTCGCTTCCTTCCTGCCCTGCAGCGCTGTATAGTCCTTGTGGCTTAGCGCTTCTTTTTGATTATAATAATAATATAGGCAGAGTTGAGCTTGTGTACAATGGCAAAAAATAAGGAAAGGGCAAAGCAAATTCAGTTCAGAAGTCGAGAGAGAAACTGCATTAATGATATTTTGCGAAAGGGCAAACAGAATATATCAGGGAATTGAATGAGAGGTCAAAAATAATGTTGGGATGCTCTATGATGAATGCTACACTATCAAAATTATTATTATATTCAAGGAAAGCACTTCACCTGTCAGTCATATAACATTACATGGCAAAGATGAAAAAGATAATAGAATGGGAGAGGTGGCATCAAGGAAACAATAACAGGGGAATGAAAAATAGGAGTCATAGTTGATGTAGCAAACTGGTGGTAGTTAAGAAATCATTGCAGGTCTGCATTTTTATATGAAATGCTAAGCCCATATGGATCATTTGGCACAAATAGTGGTGAAACCTCAATCCTCAATCTGCTAACTGCAAGACAAACTATTTTCATGGTTAGGCTTTCCCCATCTTTGTATCAAGTTGGGCCATCAGAGAGAACTTTCCTTCATGTGAAGCATTAGTGGCAGCAACATAAAATTTTGCAATATTGACAAGTTAAATTAATTCTAAGCCCATTTGTCATATTATTATCATTAATTTAAGTGCTAAACCCAAAAGGGTCATACAGCAAGACTCCATTTGTTGTCTAAACCATAACCATATTTTTTTTCAAAGTTAGAAACTATAAGCCACAGTAAATTTTGAAGAAAGGCAAAAATCCTTGCTATTAGGCAAAATTACTACATTTATGGAAAGGGCTAGATGCATAAGGGTCATTCACCACTACACAGCAGAGGTGAAAGAGATAGTAAAGGGGAGTTTTGTTGTGAATATTCACAAGGATGCATTCAACTGTAAGGGGTCACATAGTGCCTAGGAAACAGGAGGCAATCAATTTCAATTCAGGGACCTGGAGGACAATTCCAATTCTTTGTAACAAGAGCCCTTCAGTCCTTCTTGAAGGATGTATGAATTGTGGAGGGAAGGATGACAGAAAGGATGGATAGGGATCACAGTTGCTCTAGCAAATTTGGCAATTAAAAAATCAAAGAAAGTCTGTATTAAGTGGGAGCCAAAATTGAGACTAGACAGAATAAGCATGTCAAATCACTGAAAGTGTCTGATATGAAGTTTGCATGCTCTCATGAATGGGGCAATTAATCAAGAGATGTTGGATGTAGTACTTAAAAATGCTTATAGTGCTGGGTATATGCTCCACATGACTGCACAACTGTTAGGTGCTGGTATACTGTGAGGATGGAGGTGATATAGGTTCACTCAGTCTTAAATTTATAACACTGCACACTTGGAAATATTCATCAGTCAAAGGTGTTTAGCACTTCCCTATGAATATATATAATACAACAAAAGTAATATTGTACAAATTAATCTTCCATGGTAGTAAACTTATATTCTGACTAGAACCTGGTGCCCTTCCATCTACTGTGTCAATTCAAAGGATAATAAGAGCTAGTGATTATCATGATAAAAATGTTTATTTACAAATTGTTGCAACAAAATGTAGTCTGTGAGTTTTACATGCATTAGGGGTAACAGGACTATCCTGAGGAGGGTAGAAATTGGAATATGTATGTGGAAGATAGGGCAAATACTCAGGAGGAGGAGCACATAAGGAATGAAAAGTGTGGAGGTAAAAAGAGGGAGGTACACTGGGCATTCCACACAGTAGCACCAGTTAATATCATTGCTGGTTTACATGATAATATGCTTACTATTATTAAATTCTGGAGTCATACATTTATCATCCATGCATATACCCGATATTTATTACAGCCACTTATTATCAAAATGGAAACTACAAATTAACCGAAAGCAATCATATTAACTAGAGGTTACTGTAATATAATGAGAATGGGATGTCAAATGGATCAAGGTGAAGAGAATGCATATTGTAAATAACTGGGAAATGTTTTACAAAATACCTTTACACCATGCTAACTTTTTAAATTTTTCACAAATAGAAGTGGAAAAAACCCTCAAACAATTATTTAAAAAAATATGATAAAAACATGACTTGAGTAAATTAAAGGAATTTTCTAAACAATCTAAATAATAGTGAAAGATATATTTTTTTAATTGGTTATTAAGGATGAGGCACATGCACAGTGGCAACATAAACTTATGAGCAAAACTTTTGATGCAGATTTTTTTTATTTATTTTGAAGATACAAATCACCAAGGACAGTAAGATGGAGGTGATTTCATAATGCTATGTAAACAAGGTTATTCTTATGTAAAATGTGGTTGCTAATTTTCAGCCATAATGTTTATTTTATTTATTTCTGTTATTACATATGACATTTGAGACTCGAAAATTACACACACATAAACATGTGTTACTGGTACATGTGGTATCATCTTTTAATGATACAAACTGTATATGAAAGCAACTGTGGGATGTTATCAATGAAAGTGATTAGGACTCATAAGTGATTTTATAGGATGTGAAATATAAAATGAAGAAAACTATAATAAGTATTGTATGAGAAAAGCTGATAACAGAACATTGCACCAGAGATGAAAGCAGCCAAATTCTATTGCATCCCCCATTTACAACTTTTGTAGTCAAACCTCTAATACTAACATTAAAGTATTCACTCAGTATATATATATACAGTATTTGCTTTTCATGCTACTTATAGATTTAATGTCCTCTTTAACAAACCAGGTTTACCCGTCAGGTTGTCAATAACACATCTGAGGTTTGTTAGAAAGTTGATTGTGATAATGGTAAGGTGTATATTTACTTATGGGACTGGGTAGAAACTCTCAGGTTTGTACATGAGCTTGATGTTGGTGACAAGAAAATAACTAGATAGTGACATAAACTCTGAAAATACTTTCAGGAAAACAAATTCACCACCTTTAATGGAAAAATCGCAAATCACAGCATTTTTTAGCAAAATTCTGAAGATGTACTGGAGGTGTACAAAATATGAAATATATTTACTTCAATCTAAAATGACAACCTTAATAATCAATTTTAAAATAAACAGGGAATAAGAAAATTCACCTTAAGCACATCTTTAAAATATTGCCCATGGACTCGGAGTTATAATGAGGCATAGTTATTTTAAGAAGTTCTTACGTGTTAATAGGAACAAAATTCTAAAACATGAATTGAAAGCTTATACATTGCAAAGTTATTATATTTACTAACATAAGTACTGCTCAGAGGAAAGTGTTCTGCAATTAAAATACTGTATATCGTAATGTTTTAGAATTTTGTCAGAGGCAAATACAGTGATAGTAAATAACCTGGGGTAAGGCTGTTATGTGCATTTAAAATTTTGTACTATGACTGTATTTCAGTACTACTATAATGTAATGTGTCAATTTAAGGAATCTACTAGTAACTGTTGCCAGGTTCAACAGTAACAATTTTTTTCAAGTTTATTTCAAGAATGAACATTATTCTTCATTTTTTAATGTTTCCATTTTTAAATTACATACTTTAAATCTTTCCTTTTAAAATTATACAGGCTTAGCTTTGGATATTTTTTTTAATTTATAAATATAATTAATTTTTTATATAAATTCCTATACAGAAAAAATACTGTAATACAATTTCACTCTGCATCTCTGTGTTTATTTTAACATTCCAAGTTATGGTGAATATTTTATATAAATATATGGAGTGAGGTATAATATCAGTCTCCATTGTTTTAAACCAGTTAGATTTGAAATAACATTTACAATTATTATAACAATAAACAGTTTAGTTATTTTTGTGATGCAAAATATGTAATAATTAATCCTTAAACTGTGCATGTAGGGAACCTTAACTACCTCTGTGATGGAAAGATTTTTTTTTTTTTTTTCAAAAAGTTATATTTGTATGATAGAAAATATTAAGTATAATATATCCCTAAAACAATATACTTATTATATATACTGTATTGGCATTCCATATAGTAAAGAGCAGATAGTTCTGAAGCCTAGTGATAAGTAAGCAAAATTTTGTATAGCACCTTAATAATTTTTAATAGTATCCTTATAAAATATTTATTTAATTTTTCCTTAGTACAGGTCAGCCATTACTAATCCAGTTCCATCAGTAATCCAGCACTAATTTTGGCTAGTGTAATTTCAAATTTCCAAGGTCACTGCACCAACCTGCCTCATATAGTGGTGCTACTTGCTGTATACGTCATTCCAATTTGTTTTTCTTCATTTATTGTTATAAACTGCTCACTTTAAGCCCTAGCCATGGTTCCAACAAATAAAGGAAATGCTTCTCATTGTGTAAAGAACAAACACTGCACATTGTCCATAAAAGATAAGGTGGCCTTGAAGCCACTGTCAGTCCTTTAGTATGATGCCATGAGCTCAGTTCACTCAGATAAGCTGTGAACAGTAAATCTGGGTCTATATATGAGAGAATAGGTCTGTGTTGTAAGTGTGTGCTATATAAAAAAAAATCCTGCAGCATGAAGTGCATGAGAATAAAACCGTGACCATGTTTTTGGTGTAAAACAGCGAATTTGCAGTGTATTTTCATATGGTTTTTATGGTTGTATTGTCGTTTTTTTGGTCTCATTTGATAGAATGGAAGAGATATTAGTGAAACAGAGATGATTTTGATTAGTTTCAGGAAAGAAAGTACCTTGAAACTGAGCTCAAAGTTGCGGAAATGTTCAATTTTTGCCGATGTTCAAGAGTAAACAAATCACATCACGTGTCCAATACGTGTCTAACTGGCCGGTGTAATATGTGGTCACAAATGGGTTAACATTATTTATACAATTATTACAATAATGCAGTAGTTTGCATAACAGTAAATCTTCTGTTTTTTATGTGAATAAAAATTCAAAATGGAAAGCAAGTGTAAGATAAGAGGGACCTGGAAACATGACTAATGAACAGAGACAGTGTAATTTTAGTGCTAGGAATGTCTGCATTCTTTATTCCAGACCCTATTTTGCAACTGGCACCTCTTGAAATTTGTGTGAAATTGAACAAATTACCGATTTCTGATCACTTTATTGGGTAGCTGAAATAGGTAAATGGGCGATTTCTTGTACTCCATCGACATTATAGAAGGAATACTAGCAAAATAGCTATGAGTTTGGTCGACTTGAACAATGGAATGGGCCAAAAATAGGGCGCAAAGTGGGCGAAATCGCTGTGTAAATATTGCCATTGGGTTAAGTATATTCTACCCTAACTACTTTGTAAATCGGCAAAATCACTAATCCGGCACCCTACAGATTCTGATGATGCCAGATTAGTGATGGTTAACCTATATTGAAGTACTCACACTATGTGCTTAGGCTAAGTAACAATCTGTCTCTTTCAGTGTATATTCCTCTCTGAAGGAAATATAAAAATTAAAATGTTTATAAAGTGATATAACACATCAGTATTCTTATCATATGCATAATTGTGGAATGGCATGCTTGTTATGTGTACATATATGCCATGTAATCAACATGACTCTCAAAAAAAAAAAAAAAAAATTGAGCAGTTAAGAGATATATTTTATCATTTATTTAAGAATTTTTTGTATTGAAATGTGATATTGTGGCCACTTGTGTGATATGGGAGGGACCCAGGATATTTCTGCGCATTATACACCAGTTTGCCCATATCCTTGGTGCAACTATATTTTGTAAATATCACTATTGGCATTATTGTCACTGCTGTCTTGAATACCACTACAATATGTTTAGGGTAGGGGTGGTTTTGATAAGGACCTGCCTTGTATGGGCCAGTAGGCCTTCTGCAGTGCTCCTCCATTCTTATGTTCTTATATTAATATATAATACACATTAGTATTCTTTGCACATAAAGTAACCTTTTGACATTATGCCTGCTTTGTTTCTAACAGTTTTTCCTAATGGGACACAGAGCACATGTAGATTTTTTACTAGTGATAAATTTAATGCATAAGACTCGATCTGTTCTAGCACGGTGTATTCAATTTGAATATGCTAGAAATTATTAGCATGTATGTGTTCGGTTCCCCAGCCTGCAGTATATATACATTGTAGCCAGTTTCCCAGGGCACAGTATACATATACTTTGTGCTCAGTTTGAGGGTTAATTTAAATGTGATTTACCATTTTATTAAAATTTAATTACACTTTCCATTATATGCAATACTATCTTAATTCTGATAAGACTTTGCACCCATAGTATTTCATCACAATTTCCGATTATGTAATGTTTCAGATTGTGTAATTGGTACATTCAGCTAAGCAATAGGCACTTCTTCAAAAAGAAAATTACATAGCCAGAAAGTGGAACCTAATTCCAGTTATATATTCCAAATACTTTGGTTGTCATAAAGCTATACATTACTGCATCAGCAAATAAACTTGGGACCACCAATATCAAGCATATCTTACAAGTCATTAGTAAGCTGTAGCATCATTTACATTTCAGGGGCTAAAACATGCTTCTTCAAAAAATAAATACTATCATAATTTAAATGCTATTTACTATTGTACCAAAAAAAAAAAAAAAAAGAATCTTGCCAAATATATTAATGAACTAGATAGTAATAATATTAAGTTTCTTGAGCATTTTTAAGAATTTTAATTCTTAAGGTACAAATAATCTATATGCATTAAAAAATTTAAAGTTTGTTGTACTAGCCCTTATGCCACTAAAAATTTAAAAAGTACAAATATTTCCACCCTTACTGTGGTTTCCTCAGAAACCTTTGAATACAAATATGAGCACAATTTGAAATGACTATCAACAAAAAAATTCTTATGACTGAAAAGTAGTGTTCTCCATGCAAAGCAATTTTGCTGCTATTTTAAATGCAAAAATTTTTATCGCTCATTTTTTTGGTCAAACTGTTTACCTTTATTACTGACTAGATTTAATGTCTAGCAATCTACATCTGCTACTTAAATGCCTTGTTCAGAAACATGTCAGTTACACTGTCAGCAGGCAAGCACACCCCTCAGTATTCAAGGAGGGTAAGGGTCTTAATTTTTTGGTTTATCATAAAATACTTAAATCCATAAATATGCCATAGCAAACAAAAAATATTTCTAGATTATTACTGATAACAATGCTGTATGATCAATATGTAATAGGAATTAGTAAGCATTGTTAAACACAAGTAGGATACAATAATTTGAAAACAAGCTGCACCAACAATATTGTGCAAGGCATGTTGCTGTATTTCAAAATTTCAAATGCTTCAAAGACATTTAGACTCCAAACCTGTAGTTCAGACAAACTAAAAATGATAATTGAAGTGAAATGATACTCAGTAGATAGTATTTGAATCTTTTTTTTTTCTTTCTAAAAAATGTCACTTGAAGAAAAACATGAGTGAAGATGGAGATTTTTATCTTGATAAGCATTCTTTCAGCTTGGGTTTTTAAGAGTAGCATAGCAAATATATGTGGCATTATAGTGGTATCTCATTTTAGCCAACTTTCATATCCTTATGTTGCCATAACCTGTTCATACAATTATGAAAATTAAGTAATATTAACACGGTACATTTATTATTTCTCACTATTTAAACAAACTGATACCTTCAGTATGAGTGGCTACTCAATGATCATATTTTAATTGCCAATATTTTAAGGACATTTTAAATATTACTTGCCAAAAAATTGGTTAAATCTTAGTCAGCATCTATAAACTTGTTGTTTTGCACCAGGCCAATAATATAATGTAATCTTAGCGAGAGTTGGAACATACCATGTTCATTAATATTATTACAACAGACTCACAGGTTACCCATTTGATAAGCTTAATTAAAGATTCTAGGATATTACACCATGCTAAATAGTGTTGAATACAATGCTGACTGTTATAGACTGAAGACCCAGTTCCTACCAAACATGGAGAGAAATGATATAAATACTGACACAATAGATAAAGATACAAAGGCAGTATAATGTGAGCCTTCAATGATCTTCACTGTGAGGATCACATTATAATGCCTTTGTGTCTCTATCCATCCTACCAAAGATGTAATGATCATATGTATAATTTAAAAAAATTGTGGTCACTGGCAAATTGAAAGAGAGTATTACAAAGAGAATTAAAAAGAGACCAATAAGCATTAATTTAGTGATGATGATGTTAAATGATTATAATTGTAATGTGGGCGCACCTCTGGCAAGACAGTGATGAAGTGAATGATGATAATTTTTTTTTTGGGGGGCCCCCCCTGCCTTGGTGGGTTATAGTGCTGGTCTTTGACTCAAGCTTAGTGGCAAATGCCAAAACTTATCCTGGCATGTTAAGAATTTTTTTCATATTTTAAAGTAGTGAAGATTTGCACATTTGTTACTCAAAGTATACACACTAATACAGTATTTGTAGCACCCAATAGCGGGGTCTTTAAAATGGTTTCTATAAGAAATGGAAAAATCTAATATCTCCAATGGATTTTAATTTGCTTTTAAATTGATTAAAATATTTAAAAAAATTCAGGATAAGATCTAAAGCATATTTTCAATTAAATTAAGGACAATATAATGTATACTGCATATTAAAAAAATACTTTTTTACCTAGTTTGAATATGAATTTCAGTGTGAGACGTGCATGCCATTCAGTCAGTCTAAAGATGACTGGGTTTGGCCAGTAACTGGATGGGTGAGCACATGAACACAGCCTCATGCTTGACTATAGGGAAAAATTACCCATGGGATTCTGATCCCTGACATAATTATATTTATACAGTACCATATCATATGCTAATCATTTCTTGGAGGGGAAATACCCTAAGTGTTTGACAGACTGTATCCAGTACAGTTCTTTGTAAGTAATTTAAAATATATATTCATGAATTATTACTAAAAGGAAACAAACAAATAATTAAGCAATATGGTACCATGAATAACTAAAACTTCTTTTCCACAATAATGCCATATAGTACAGTAATACATTATAGCAATTTATGACATAGTTAAAATATCAGTGTAAATTTAAATTCTTTTAAAGAACAAGAATATTCAAAAGTGTTTAGAGAAGAAAGAATTAAACAGAAAACTTTGTTTAAGCTGAACTAACCCTTAATAGCTGTGTGACACTAAGTTGTCTCAGGATATGAAGGTTTACCACATGTGAGCTATATGCCTGTCCAAGAGCTGAACATAATAAATATAATAGTTAAGTTCTTGAAAGAAAGAGTTCCAAATATGTTAAATTAAACCTTACTTGTAGATCTACTTTCTTAGTTGATTTGCATCCCAGATGTTTTCATGTATTTTGATTAGCTGCCTCAATGTAAAGATTTATTTCATCTTTACTGTGAGGAAATACTAAGTTCCCAAATGTGTACCAAATTATAATAATAAAATATGAAGCATTAGCATAAATAATTCCCAAAATAACTGACAGCATTTCTCTCATTTGTCACTAAAATTTAAAAATATATAACTCTTTATAGATGTATAGGGCTGTGTTTAAAAAAAAAGACAAAACATATTTAATGATAGTGATAGCATCACCAAGTGCATGGGCAATGCTTAATTTTCCCTCTGTAAAATAGTAACTAAAGTATCATTCTGGAGTTTTGGCTTCATAATAAAAAGTTGTTTAATGCCCAAAATATCAGCTGGATAACTCTGCTTATTTAGTACTTAACAATATATAATATATATAGTGAGTAATCTTTGAGTACAAATTATAGATCTCTTGCTATGTAGGAAAGTGCAATGATACTTCATACAGTGGGATGCTTTGAAGTCAATTTTCGTACTAAAGCTCTGTCTAGGCAATTAAGTAGTTTATTTTAGTGATGTTATTATCCACCATTACTGTCAAGAGCTAGTGCAAATAATATTTTTACTATAGAGGATATCATCAACACTGTAGTTCCTATTTATATTGTAGGTGATATTTTTCATAAATATGTCAGATATTTCTTACAAATTAATTATAGAGCAATTTTAATGTATGGCATCAGGAAGGAAGCTGTGTGTTTATTTTGTGCAAATGTTTAGACTCAGTTTTTATATGATTGTAAAAAAGAGCATTTATATATGTAGGATACTCTGGGCACACATGGGACGGTGCAGACAGCTGTTTGAAACCTCCCACAGTACATATTATTTTAAGGGAGAGAAGTGAACCAGTCATGATGGTGGGAATTATATCCTCAAATGAAAGTCTACTCCCACCTTCTGTATTTTCCATAGTGTGGCTCAGTTATGCACAAATAATGAATGGCAAAGAATAACAATACCATGACTGGCTGGAAAAATTCACAAGAAAACTCAGAACTTGGAAATGAAAACTAGATTATGTTTCAGTCCATCCTGGACCATTATGAAATTGATAATAAAAAAAAGAGAAAGCCTAGATATTGGAAGCTGAAAAGACAGCCAATGTCAGGTCAAATCATGGATGTTTTGAAGATTAGCCTAGCACAAGCCAGGTCTATTGCACTGCTCCTTTATCTTATATTCAAAACCTAGGCTAAAATTTATGTTATGGAAGTTGTGTATGAGGGCCAGTTCAACAAGATGGCATGTACTGTATTACAGAAATGATGTAAAGGGTGAAAATAAAGCAAGAGACAGAGAACCACCTCAAGCTGTAAGGATGAATATTATATTTGAGCATTCTTGGGAAGAATTCAAAGGTAATTCTAATTTTGGACTTGTTAATAAAATTCCAGCTTAATGTTTCTAGTGAAATTTTAGCCCCTAGTGAAAGCAATATTGGCAAAAAGTAAAGGGTTTCAAATATCCTATTTACAGAAGTCCCAAAAGCTATCTGAAACATCCCACATGTGTTTGAAGCCTACACACGCTTTAATACATATGCACAAATAAACAAGTTTTGGACATTTTGCTTTTTTATCATTTGAAAATTTATAACTTCAAAATCTTCCTTCATAGAACAATACAGAATATCACAGACAAGAGAGTCACAATATTTACCTTTGCTTTGACAATGCACAGTAGGTCTGCCTATAAAACCTACTTTTATACAGATATTTTTATAGAAAGTGTTCAAAGTATTATTGCACTTTTCCATCTAATAACAGTTAACTAAATTTTGACCAAAAATATATAACAAATATTAATTTATGTTGTATAATAACACCAGCTGAGCATTCTTTGACTATCTTGAGGTGCAAGTGTTTATTTTTATTTTTCCATTTGTTAAATGGACACTTACAAGAAACTCATGGTAGAATAAGAATCTGTCTGGGTGTAGAAATTGATGCAATTTCATTCTTTGTGGTAGGAAGAGGATACAACAACAACAACTGCAATGATGAATGCTTTTGGTCTTAATATTAGTATTAATTACATAAAAAGGTACAATAATACCATAATATTTACTTTGGTCAACTTTGAAAGCTTGGTTAATACTCTACTATCACATTTTTTCAATAAAGTGTAGCAGCTATCAAGATACTTCAAAATGTTGCTACAGCCACAAATACTCAAATCCTACACCCTTAAATCAAGACATGTCTCAAAACCATCTTTTTTAAATAGAGTACTATACAGTATTTAAAATTTAATAAAATAACATTTGGAAGTACTGCTGAATTCCATAATTTAATTTTCTTTGCTTTTTTGTTTTTATGCTACCCTAGATATTGCTTTTGTTCATATAGGACTTTTTTTTTTCTTAAGACTCTTCTTTGTATTGTGTTTTCCATACTTCTTTACCTCTCTATTTTTTTTATCCAAATGTATCTGTAGTCAGTCTGTACAGTACAACAAGAAGTGAGACAGCTTACTCTCTCCTTTCCAAGAAATCATTTTTATGTACATTTTACATTAGAACATATTTTAACAATTACTTCATAGTAAGTTATAGTCTTTAAAGCTATTTAAGATGCTGTATGACATTATTGGTTGGCAGTGCTGGTGAACAGTGTGCACCCGAGGTACAGACTGAATACCACTTGCAACTAGGGAACGTGTCCCCTCACTGCAGAGAATTTCCTGCCTGCTTCTTTCATTCCTCTTTTTTAAAATTTAATCATGAAATATTAATATTTTTTCTAGCAAGAATGATGGGATTATCAGTGAATCTTGAGCACTGTTAAACAATTTTCAACCACCTGATTGCCTGCCAACCCTCCCACCCTTCTTTTCATATTATTATTCTGTTTTCAAATACCCCATGCTGTATGACCCACATGGGTTTAGCACTTCTTTTTATAATAATAATTTGAAATACACCATGTTACCAGAAATAAACAAATAAATATTCAAAGGGAGGGAGAACACAAATGATGATGGTCTCTAGGCACCATGATGGTAATTCTGGTGCAGTAGTAAGGATGAATGGGAGGGTGTTGGTACTTGGGAAGAAGTTGATATCCTTGAGGTGAAATTTGACTCCAAACTGACCATGAAGAACCATGTGTAAATCTTGCAAATAAGGCAGCCAGGAAGCTTACAGCACTTATCCGTATCTTGCATCTGCTTGACAGTAAGGGTTGCAAGATTCTGTATGAGGCACAAGTACGCTCACACCTTGAGTATGCTCCACTTTCTTGGTTTGCCTGCCCCTCCCTCTCATCTGTGACTGCTTGACAGAGTAGAGAACAGAGCAAGACATCTCATCTCTCACCTGGACCCATCCTGGATAGATCTGTCATTTCAGCAGAGCCTTCAACACAGGAGGGATGTGGGTGGCCTTACTGTTATGTACAAAGCCAATATTGTCAAAGTACCACACTTGGATTCACTTCGAGGACAGCATGAAGCAAGCTTCTATACCACAAGATGGTCAGAAAGCAGCAACTTCACTCTGGCTGTGTCCTTCTCCAAAACATCACTTCATCTGAGATCATTTATCCCCAGGATGACTCGAGCATGGAATACATTCGTACAGCATTATGATGTCAATGAGATAAAGTCAGTTGATTAAATGAAAATGTTGGCCCACAGATGGCTCCAACTTCATCCTGTTCCCTACTTGTATGTTTCATAACAATAAAAATGTTTCAAATGAGCTGATGTAGGTAACAGTTCTTAGCTTGTCAATAAAATTAGGAATCCTTAACCTGTAAATAGCTTGTCAATAAAGCTAGGGATCATTAACCTAACCTTGTCAAACCTTGTGTAAAAAAAAACAGAGAGAGAGAGAGAGAGAGAGCCACAAGACGGGCAGAAAGCAGCAACTTCACTCTGGCTGTACCCTTCTCCAGAACTTCACTCCATCTGAGATCGTATATACCCAGGATGACTCGAGTATGGAACACATTCGTACAGCATAATGATGTCAACGAGATAAAGTCAGTTGATCAAATGAAAATGCTGGCCCAAAGATGGCTCCAACTTCATCCTGTTCCCTACTTGTATGTCTCATAACAATAAAAATGCTTTCAAATGAGCTGATGTAGGTAACAGCTCTTAGCTTGCTAATAAAGTTAGGAATCCTAAACCTGTAAATAGCTTGTCAATAAAGCTAGGGATCCTTAACCTTGTCAAATCCTGTGTAAAAAAAAAAAAAAGAGAGAGAGGCAGAGAGAGAGAGAGGCAGAGAGAGAGAGAGGCAGAGAGACAGACAAGAGACAGAGACTGACAGACACACACCTAGTAGCGACCAGTGAAGAGGTGGGGCCAGGAGCTTGGACTCGACCCCTGCAACCTCAACTAGGTGAGTACACACACACACACACACACCAGGAGCTTGGACTCGACCCCTGCAACCTCAACTAGGTGAGTACACAGAGGGGGGAACATAAAAAAAAGTGAGACAAGAGAAAGTTTAGAGAAGAGAGAAAAGAAAGGGAAGGGAAATAAAGAAAAAAGAAAGAGAAAGAGAAGAGAGGGACAACAGAATAAGAAAATAGAAAGAGAAAAGAATGAGAATGAAAGAGGAGAGAGAGAGAGATAGATTAACTGATTTAAATTTCAGATCTATTCTCAATTTGTCTTCACAACCCAGGAGACAAAAAAGCAAACAACGCCAAATAGTAAAATATTGAGTTGACATGGGGCTACGTTATCACCTGATGTATGTGTCTTCACTCTCATGTAAAGACAGACTGGTAAGGCAGGTTGGTTGGTAGGTTAGTTGAGGAGGCACAACAGGAAAAAAAAAAAAGTCATATGAACTGTACAGCCAGAACTCTGGAGCTATTATCAGACAACCACAACCACTCATTTCTATTCACAGTAACATAACATTTTTGGTATTGCATAGGTTATTCTGGGAACCTTGCATATGGCAGAATACCTGTTTTCATACAGCCCTTCAAAACTGGGAGATTATAAGGAAAAAGTGGCTTTGTCTCAGAGCCAAGGGTGCTGGATCTGAAGATTTCTACCTGTATCAAACCTCTACCCCAAAAGTGGAAAAAAAAACTTAATTGGTACAGTATCTGTTACTAACTGCATTGTCCTTTTCGTTTGCTATTTTGCAACACTTTACTATTAGGATTAGTCAGAAAAATTGTCATATAAAAATTTGAACTTCATCTAACTTCTCGGTTAGATGCAAAATAACTTTGCATTATTAGCTTGATAAATGCAAAGTGAACAATCATGGAATACAAAATGTTAAACCTAATATAATGAACAGTTCCAAGCTACAAAGTGAAAAATATTAAAAACTAGTGTATTAAACTAGTGAAATATCCAACACTACAGTGGTTAAAAGGCAGTTTTAAGAACAACTTGGGCGAAGGATAATGTGCCAATCCTTAGTGTACAACCAACTATATTTACATTGGTATTTATAATGTCACTCTCATACTTTCCCAAACATATCTGCCTAAGGCTTAGGGGCAGAACATGAAACTTATTATATTTATAAAGAAGAATGGCACAGTATGAGCCAAGACAAATGAGAATTATTCTTGAAGGGTTGGGTCACCAGAATAATATGTAGCCCGTCTTGTCTTCTGGCATATCCTTCTTGACTACATTCATCCTACTCTCCAATTCATAGAGTAGTAAAGATGTAAAGTAAAACGAGAAGTTTATTTAGGAGACTAACATGCACAGTTTACTTCAGGTGCCCAGCTGCTTGCAATTCTCGTATATGACATAGCTCCATGGATGGCCATTTTGCTACAACTTCTAGTTTGTTCAATGGGGTTATTTGTGTAAGGCAGCCAGAGGGTGGGGATGGGCCAGAGGGATGTATTATGCTTCTGAGGGGCAACATTAATTTTTTTATCTTCAGAAATGGACTATCACAATGCACAGTTCAAGAGGAACCCCATGTTTATGCGTATGGCTCATGACAACCACTGAGGTTAAAGAACATACATAACCTACCATAGCCAATTCAAGTCTTTCACAAATAACACTGTTTCATCTGGGAGGTATCAAAAGTGTTCAATAGTTCAGAAGAGCACAGGTTTCAGATTGTGACAGTAGTGAATATTGGTAGCCATTGCCTTCTTATGTCTCAAAATGTTCAAGCTTTAATGTTCAGAATATCAGAAGTACAGTACTGTCTTTAATATTTACCATCATATGGATTTGAAACAGGTCAGAAGGCATTAAATGCTACAAACAAACACTAACTGCAACAAATTAGGGCTAATGCTACACATTGAGGGCTTGGCGAGTGGGAGGGCGGTGCGGAGAGTGGTAATCATCATCTCTGGTGGGTGGTAGCTGTCTTCGACCAGGTCGATCTGGTGGGCGATCATACATAAGACCAGGATCTTGGGGAGGAAGCCTGTCACCGTACTCGTCATCTCGCAAATCTCGAGAGTCACGAGGATCTCTCATATCCCGTGGGTCACGGGATGGAAGTGCTCGAGAACCCCCATGCCCTGTTGGCCCTCCTCGATGGTAGACTGAAACAGTTGAATGCTTTTACATTCTTAGCCAGAATAAACCATGAAAATAATAAATCAATATTATTCATTGAGTAATCACTATAATCAGTTTCCATCTTACTAAGTGCAATTATATGCAAACACTTTAGCATCCCATTTAGTAAAATTTCACATGCAAAATTTACTTTTAGTCAGGGTGCATCAACTCAGTCTCAAGACTGTAATTTGCAGTTATCCCAATAGACTTGATTATTTTTAGTTGGTGGGAATAAGATTTTGCTAGAGCAATAAATAGTTATCAACAATGAATTGATTAGTGTCATTTCTCAGAGTGAGATGGTATACATCTTCAAGTAAGAAATGATTAACTACTTAAAATTCCTTAGTAAAAGATGGGTTAACTCTCATGAAACCAAGACAAGACCACAGTATTCAATCAGTTAAATGTCTCATATAACACACAACAGATGTTAAAAATAAACACTCAAGCAAATATAATGAAAGAGGAGTAACAATAGATGATGCTAAGATCTAAAAATTTTGTTAAATAGTTGATCTAAATGTCACACACACACACAAAATAAATAAATAAATAAATAAATAAATAAATATATATATATATATTATAATATAATATATATATATATATATATAATATATATATATATATATATATATATATATATATATATATATATATATATATATTATATTATATATATATAATAATAAAATAATAATAATAATAATAATAATAATAATAAAATAATATCATTGTTTCTACGTCCACAACAGGACTCGAACCTACAAACTCTGTATCAGAGTCCACAGTGCTTTACCACGGAGCCAGACCACCAGCCCCGGGGTGTGGGGAAACATCGCTTAGCTTCAGCTAAGCGCCCATGCTTATTTATATGCTTGTGGTTTGGCTCCATGGTAAAGTACTGTGGGCTCTGATACAGAGTTTGCAGGTTAGAGTCTTGTTGTGGACGTAGAGACAATGCTTGTAAATAATTTTACCTATTTGCAAACTGTTATGCATATATACACACACATGTATATATGCAGAACAACCACTGGAAAAATAGTGAAATTCCAACCACTTTTGTGACTTATCACATTATCAAGGAACTATAAAAATAAAACACCAACAGGAAGGCTTATGGCAAGACTACACCTCACAGTCATGTCACAACACCCGACTGTGAAACACAACTGATATTCTACCCAAGCATTAAGATTTTTTACTTGAATAACGTATCATTAAAATCTTCCCACATTTATTAATCATAAATGAATCCAATTTATATCAACCAAAAGAAATAATTATATTATTTTCAAAACTGCTTTTTATTAAACATGATTCTATTATATTCCTCTCGATCATGGACTTGCTTGATACAACTTTCTCAGCCCTTTGAAAATCAATTGGATGGTTAAAATCTCTCACATGAATAAACAGAGCTTTAGAATCTTGTCCACTTCTAATGCTATATTTATGTTGTTTTAATCTTAGTTGAAGACTTTTATCAGTTTGACCATAATAAACTTTATCACATACTTTACAAGGAATCTTATAGATGTACCTGTCAGCATTTTGGGGGGATTTTTTTATTGAAAGTTTTTTAACTGTATCAAGATTTTCAAATACAACTTTGATATTAAAAGTCCTAAGAAGAGACAGCATATTAAACAAGTTTTCATGGTAAGGGAGAACCAACATATTTTTAGTTGAATAAGGTTGGCTGTCCTTTTTGAATTGTAAAAAGTATTTTTGTCAATTTTAAAGTATTTATCAATTACGTTTCTTGGGTATTTTAGATCATTAGCTATTACAGTGGTCCCTCGTTTATCATCGTTAATCCGTTACTGGAAGTGCAACGATTATCGAAATAGACGATTTTTTAATCAATTTTCCCCATAAGAAATAATGTAAATACAATTAATCCGTTCCTGACACCCAGAAGTATTAAAACAAAAATGATTTTTTACATGAAATATAGACGTAGTACATAAACAATACAATGGGACATGATGAATGAAACATTAACAGCATAACACTTACCTTTATTGGCAATTCTTCTTAGTGTATGGAAGACTGGAGGAGGAGAGAGATTGGATTAGTTACTGTTTGGAAGGGAAATCCCCTTCCATCAACACCTCAGGTACCAAGTCCTTTTCTGGGATTACATACTTCTCTTCTCTGTTTCTTAATGGCATTAGGACCAGCTTAAGATTCACTGGAGTCTCTGTCTTGCAAAAAAAGTGTCCAGAGAGCTCTGTTTCTGGCGTTTTTTTAAAACTTCCCTAAAATGGGCCAAGACTCTGTCACTGTACAAGTTACCGATATGGCTTGCAACATCCTTCTCAGGGTGATGTTTCTCCAGAAATCTTTCCATCCTACCCCACATTTCAAAAATCTCCTTAATTTCTGAAGAAGGCACCTTCTTCCATCTCTCTTCCTCCTCCTCTGAGTTGCGATCTGTTGCTGTTCCTGCTGAAGCTTTTGCAGCTCCTCAGTGGTTAGCTCTTCGTTGTGGTCCTCCACCAACTCTTCCACATCCTCCAAACTCACATCCAACCCCATGGAACTCCCCAGTGCCACAATAGATTTCACAACTGACATAGGCTCATCAGGGTCAGCCACAAACCCTTCAAAATCCCTCTTGTGGACACAATCTGGCCACAATTTTCTCCAAGCAACAACAGCTTCCTTGATTTCCTTTTTCTTTGCCACGATGGAAGATATGGGTGTATGGGGTCTGTTATACATTCTGGCCAGTTCGGCCACACGTATGCCACTTTCATATTGTTCAATGATGTTTATCTTAAATTCAATCGTATTTCTCACCATCTTTACCAAAGGCTTGGCACTAGGAGCTTTCTTTGGAGCCATGGTAGCTTATTCAGCACTTGCAAGCACTAAAATGAATGGAATATTATGAAATATTTCGTATGAACAAGTGAGGGGACCGTCGCTCACTGGTAAACAATGGCATACTGGCTGGGAAGGGAGGCCGAGGCGGCTCAGAGCCGTGAGTACGTGTCCAGGATGAACGACGATTAGCAAGTCAACTGACCATTTGCGAGCCAATGTTTGGACGAAAATAACGCGATGATTTCTGAAAAGGACGACTATCGAGCCCGACGATTATCGAGGGGCCACTGTACATAAATTTTAAGATTTCTTCATCTACGAATTCTGGACTACAAATACGCAAAGCTCTCAAAAACACTGATGAGAATACCGACAGTTTAGCTTTTATCTTGATGTGAATAATAAGAGTGTACATAGGAACATTTGTTGGTTGTCTGTAAATTTTAAATTTAAAATCATTGTTACCCTTAATAATTAACACATCTAGGAAAGGCAATGAGTTATTTTCTTCAAACTCAACAGTGAAATTTATAGAATGAGTTAAACTATTTAATTTAACAAGGAAATGGTTTATATCTATATTTTTAGGCAAAGACACAACTGTTGGAGAAATTTCTAACTCTAATGTTAAAGCAACATCGATTTAGTAGATAAATTAAGAACCTTGACTGATTTAAATTTCAATATACAGTGGACCCTCGAGTTTCGTAAGCCTCTCGCTTCATAAATTTCACCTTTTGACAACTTTTTTCGTCAAAATATAGCCTCGTGGTTCATAATTTACCTTGCCATTCATCGGTCATCCAGAATGCATACTAGCAACCTCCCAGCATCTGCGCCACACAAAGGTGTGCCACACACCATTCCCAGGAAGTGTGGCATTGTTTATTGGCAAGTGACCATCACCCCACTCATTCATAAGATACATTTCATAATATTCCATTCTTTCTGTGCTTGCATCTGTTAAATAAGCCACCATGGGCCCAAAGAAAGCTGGTAAAGAGTGTGAGAAACACAATAGAATTCAAGAAAGAAATCATTGCAAAATATGAAAGTGGCATGCATGTGGCCCATCTTGCCAGGATGTATGGGAAGCCCTATACAACCATCACTTCCATTATGGCAAAGAAAAAGGAAATCAAGGAAGCTGTTCATCACAAATACTCGAAGATGTTGAGAATTTGTTGTTGGTGTGGATCAACCAAAAACAGTTAGCAGGAGATAGTGTTATGCAGTCGATAATTTGTGAAAAGGCAAGGCAGTTGCATGCCGATCTCATAAAGAAAATGCCTGGAACGAGTGCTGATGTTAGTGAATTTAAAGGCCAGCAAAGGCTGGTTTGAAAGATTTAAGAAGCATAGTGGCATACACAGTGTGGTAAGGCATGGTGAGGCTGCAAGCTCTGACAAATGTGTGGCTGAAAAATTTGAGCAGGAATTCAAGGACTATGTAGAGGCTGAAGGATTCGTCCCCCAACAAGTGTTCAAATGTGACCAAACAGGCCTCTTTAGGAAGAAAATGCCAAAGAGGACCTACATTACACAGGAAGAAATGGCACTGCCAGGACACAAGCCTATGAAAGACAAGCTAACTATCATGTTCTGTGGTAATGCTAGTGGGGATTTCAAAGTGAAGCCTTTACTTGTGTATCACTCTGAAAATCCCAGAGTGTTCAAGAAACAAAGTGTCACCAAGAGTAAATTGTGTGTGATGTGGAGGGCAAACAGTAAGGCATGGGTCATAGAGGGAAATTTTCCTTGAATGGTTCAATGAGGTGTTTAGCTAAAGTGTGAAGAAATACCTCCTGGAAAATAAATTGCCACTCGAGTGCCTCCTGGTAATGGACGATGTTCCTGCTCATCCTCCAGACTTGGATGACCAAATGGTGGAGGAATTTAGATTCATCACAGTGAAGTTCTGCCCCCTAATACCACTCCTCTCATCCAGCCCATGGACCAGCAGATCATTTCAAATTTCAAAAAGCTCTACACCAAAGCAATGTTTCAAAGGTGCTTTGATGTGATCTCACTCAATTGACCCTAAGAAAGTTCTGGAAAGATCACTTTAATATCCTCCACTGCATAGACCTTATAGATAAGGCTTGGCAGGGAGTGACTTCCAGGACTTTGAACTCTGCTTGGAGAAAATTCTGGCCAGATTGTGTCCTTGACAAAGATTTTGAAGGGTTTGAGGCTGATCCTGACAACCCTATGCCATTTGTGGAATCTATTGTGGCATTGGGAAATTCCATGAGGTTGGATGTGACTGGCCAGGATGTGGAAGAGTTGGTGGAGGACCACAGTGAAGAGCTAACCACTGAAGAGCTGCAAGACCTTCATCTGCAACAGCAACAGACCACGGCTCAGGAAATTGATGCAGGGGAGGAGGAAGAGAGATGGAAGAAGATGCTGTCTTCAAAGATTAAGGACATTTGTGTAAAGTGGAGTGAGGTGCAAAAGTTTGTGGAGGAACATCACCCTGACAAAGCTGTTGCAAGCTGTGTCAGCAACATGTAAAATGACAATGTCTTGTCCCATTTTAGGCAAATTTTAAAGAGACACCAGAAACAAGAGCTCTCTGGAACAATTTTTAGAGCGACAGGGGTCCAGTGACTCTCCAGCTGGTCCTAGTGGCATTAAAAAACAAAGAAGGGAAGTAACCTCAGATAAGCACTTGGTACCTAAAGTCTTTATGGAAGGGGATTCTCCTTCCAAACACTAGTGTAACTTCCCCATCCTCTCCCCTCCTCCTGTCTTCCATACACCAACAAGAGTTTTCAATAAAGGTAAGTGTAATATTATTGTTTTATACTTGATATCTCATTGTTTTCTGTATGTAAATCTATATTTAATGAAAAAAAAATTTGTTAATACTTTTGGG